CTCTCTCTCTCTCACTCTCTCTCTCTCTCTCTCTTTCTAAAAAGTAAATACAGACAATAAATAATATAAGAATGCTAAAATTAAACTTATTAAAATAGTATATTAATATAAAATTAGAAATTATAGCATATTTAAAAGTGTTACATATTTAATATACAAAATAAACGCTACTAGTTCATATCTAATGATAATATTTAATACATGTGATTAAAGCGCCGATTCCAAATACTTTGTAAGTAATTTACAAAACAACACAATAAATGTATGTTACATTTACTAACACTGATATCTAAATTTTTAAGGCACACACTTGTGTTTTTTATAAGTATTTTAAAATCATGTCATTTCTAAGCTTACTTCTCACAAGAATAAAGCAACTCATGTTAGTCTTTGATTTTAATTAATTGAGTTTTACGAGTACAGTGTAGCGTGACCACTTTTGCTCTATTTCAGAGAACAGTTCTCTATTTGGACCTGTATTTAGACAAAATAGAGAACTGTTCTCTATTTTAAATTAAAAATAAATAATAGGAATGTTAATAAATTTATTAAATAATTATTTATTTTTAAAATAATTAAAGGAATTGACACTTTCTTTATTAATAACTGATATTTTACTTCAACATTGGTAGTAAATAATCTTGATTTTTAAATTTAAAAGAAAAATTAACGTAAAATATTTGTTCTCTATTTGTTCTCTATTTTAAAAGAAATTTGGTCAAATGTTCTCTATTGTTAAACCTTGAGTCACGCTAGTACAATGTAGTGTAGTTTAGGTCATACGGAGACTTCAACTATGAATATCTCGGGCTGATAGCGAGAAACAACCTAGATATGACTATTATTGTGACAACGCATATACAGCATGTATAGTATACAGTACTAATGATTAGCAAAAATACCATTTTTCGATGTTATTTGCTGTATATGTATATGCATTGTCACAATAATGGTCATATCTCGGTTGTTTTAAGCCGAGATATTCATATTTAATGTCTCCATATGACCTAAACTTGTCATCAAATTCAGATTCTTGTTGTAGACATGAATTTCCTTCAATTTGTTCATCAATTCAATGATTGAACAAATTGTGTGATCAAAGTCTTCACAGTTTACACATTGAATGCCAATCCAAATGATAATCACAACCAATGAATACATTGTCTCAAAACTAAATCAATTAATTTGTAAATTTAAAACTAATTTTGTTTTAAATAAACCGTTAACTGTATGTAATTTAAATATTTACATGATTTAATTTTCACAGATAAAAGCACGAGATAATTGGGTAATTGTATGGTTTTATTGAATAAATTGTTTAAAAAACATTTGAATTTATTTTATGGTTTACAGTTTTATAAACTTATTTTCAAACACACAATAAGTTAAGATTTTTATTATTCAATAACTGTTGTAATAAGTATTGAATGTTTTTGAAAATGACATTTTCAACAAAACCTTTAATAGGTATTTAATGAAATCGGGAAAAGTTTACATAAATCTAACAAATAATAACTCAAATTCTTATTCAAAAGCTATTATCTGTTTATCGTTAATAAATGGCAACGAATCCGCTGAAGACTTTTGCCATTCATTTGTCAAAAACTCGTATCAAATAGACTATAGTTTTCAATATCTATTTCCGATCAGTAAAAACAGAATCTCTAGTTATTTTGTGTTAATTATTGAACATAACTTTTGGCACTTTGGTGCTTTCATATAACAGTAAATTTCTTTTTGCCATAAATTTTGTTTTTTAAATTCATGAATTTATATATTGTAATGAGAATTACAATAGGAATAACTTATTTGTTGTTTTCCTAATGAATATTATGATTGATAATTAAATCTGTTTTTGGGATTACATTTTGAATTCATAAAACTAAAATTAAATTAAAATAAAACTAAAATTTGTATAAAAATAGTTGTATAAACATATTTAATCTCAATATCCTGTGCGTCAAACGGGTTTTTACATTAATGAATTATTTTGTTTATAATTTTGTGTAAATATTAATAATTATTTTGTTATTTATAAATTTTATAAGAATTGTATTTTATATTATAAAATTAATCATATAGAAATATATTTACAATATAAAGGATTAAGCAAGCCGAATGTAGTTTTGCTGATAAATATAGTTTTTAAATAGTTATTTCACTTTACAATACATTTATTTTGAAAAAAAACTGTTGCCGATAACGCTTATACTTTAGGATGTGCTCATCATTGCGTGTATATATCGGTCGCATTGGTCTTTTCATGTTCATCAAAATGTGCATGTCAGTGCCAGACTGGGCATTGTTTTTAGTAATAATGTTAAATAATAAAATGAGTTAGATTTTTAAAATGGTGACAATTATTTAGTGAATAAATTACCTGATCGGATAATAACAAATTGAGCATTGCACTAAAAATCCACTTGAATACTGGCCAATGTGCGGGGCCCGCCCGAACGTACGGCACAATCAGAGTCAGTGTTTTATTGTGCGAAACGGGCACATATGCACCCACGCCCACGAACGTACCAATGAAACTACCTATGTCAAGCACTACTATATCAATTATCGGGGAAAATTTATGCACAGCCATTGGTATGGTTGCGATTTTATAACCAAAACCAATCATGCTCATTGTTCCGCGAGTAACAGGGTTGTTTTTATCATTGAAATCGACGCTAAAATCAAATTCCAACGTTACTAAGTGTGGTATTAGTACTGTATGAACGTAGCCAAAATGCTCTATGTCCACTGCGTTCTCGTTCACAATCTGTTAAAAATCAAGAGATACAATATTTTTTATATAAATAATATGTAGGACCCTTCGGCCCCCACCCCGTCCCCCGCTTTATGGGATTTAACATGGGGAGACTCTCATAAGATTAACATTGGTTTCTATACTATTACAGTTTAATTCTATGGCTTAGGGTTAACATAAGTAATACTAACAAGTAAGTCTATAAGAGTAATGGCATTCATTTGCTTTAAGTTAAGTCTATGGGAGTTATCTAAATATATGGTTAATGCTAAGCGTATGAGACTAATGTTGATACTATATTGATCATATTAAATTTGTACATAATGCTAATCTTGTTGCTAATTCCTTAAGCATCACCCGAATTGTGGCTAACGTATAACATGGCTGTGAGTTGTTTTAAGTGAAATTACTATAATTACCTCCAATTGTGAACGATATACACGCGAATACGAGTCAACCACACGTAGTGTTGAATCATGTGCATCTAAAAAATTGTTGGGGTAGTAGTCGGGTTCCGTCCCTTCCGAGTGATGCCAAACGTATATCATATGATTCCTCTCTATTGTTGGCCACTTCTTTACCCCTGCGTTCAATAACTTTAACTCAGAGTCTATTAAAAATAAATTTAATTTATAAAACATTAATTCAATCAATATTAAAATATAGACATAAATACAGTGTAGTTTACTTACACTAGCGTTAACTGTCTATGTTTGGACGGAAACGCCTTTTAGAAATGCATATGAAATGGTACTATTTACCTTATATTAGTTATACCATTTGTATGACTATTTCATATCCGTTTTAAAAGTCGTCATACGTCTAAATATACAACAGTTAACAGACAGTTAACGCTAGTGTAGACATACTCTTGAGATTAGGTATGCGTTTGCACTGTCCGTCTCCGCCAAACCTCCAGCCATGGAATGGACACTGAATACAGTCGTCGCCCGACTCTGACNGGAATGGACACTGAATACAGTCGTCGCCCGACTCTGACTCAGTCACCACATGTCCGCCGACACCGAGATTTGCGCCCAAATGTGGACAATAGGCGGACAAACAGTGGACGACACCCGACGGGCCCCGGAATAGCACCAACTGTTGGCCGCATAGCTCTATGGCTTTCACGGCATTTATTGCCAGATCTCTCGATAACATTATCGGAATCCATGCGTTTGGGTATTGGCGTGATCCAGAGTTACGATCGTGATCATCATATATGGGCTATTATATAAGATACATGTAATAGATTATATGTTATGTTGAATGAATATTTAGCATTTGTTACAACTCAATTCCATAATTATTTTCCCAATAGATTCTATGAAAGTGGTTCAAAATTATTTTCTCACAAATTAAATGCACAGCAAATCAATAAAATTAAAAACAAATTCTCAAGTATTTGTGAAGAAATCATTGCCAATGATTAACTATAATTATTTTATAATAAAGGTTTGTTGTATTTTATTATATTGTTCTAACAAAAAACCTGTGGGAAATTAATTATTAAATGGAGTGTATACTTATTTAATAGAATCTATTGGGAAAATAATTATGGAATTGAGTTGTAACAAATGCTAAATATTCATTCAACATAACATATAA